ACGAAGTGAAGGTCGATTTCCACGTGCTAGTGCCAAAACTGATAGTGCCCTGAAGGTAGCGAAGAATCCGCTTGGCAGCAACAAGATGAACTTCCCGAGGATCATGCATGTGCAGGCAGATTTGTTGAACAACGTACGCGATGTCAGGCCGGGTGAAAGTGAGGTACTGGAGAGCACCTGCAAGGCTGCGATATGCTGTAGGATCAGCAACAGAAGGGCCGACATCAGCAGAAACTTTGGCACAAGTGTCAACAGGAGTGGAACAGGGCTTGCAGTCGCTCATGCCATGGCGAGCAAGAATATCCAGACTGTACTGACGCTGTGAGAGGAATAGAAGGTCTTGTTGTCGCTGAACTGCTACGCCAAGAAAATGGTGTAGGGAACCCAGATCCTTCATGGCAAATTCCTTCTTCAGTGCATCAATCACCCGGTATAAGAGCGGCTGAGAGGAGGCTGTAACAACAATGTCATCCACATATAGGAGCAAATAGACTGTCTCAGTGCCGCGGTGATAGATGAACAGGGAGGTGTCGGACTTAGCTTCAGTGAAACCCAGAGACAGCAAATAAGAAGCAAACCGGCTGTACCATGCTCGCGGTGCCTGCTTCAAACCGTAGAGGGACTTGTTGAGCCTGCAGACGTGGTCGGGAAGAGCATGATCGGCAAAACCAGTGGGCTGAGAGCAGTATACTGTTTCTGACAGAGTCCTGTGAAGGAAAGCGTTCTTGACATCAAGTTGATGGATCGACCAGTCCCGGGAGTGAGCCAGAGTGAGGACGGTGCGAACGGTAGCGGGCTTGACGATGGGACTGAAAGTCTCATCGTAATCGATTCCGGGGCGTTGTGTGAACCCACGGAGGACCCATCGAGCCTTGTATCTGTCCAAGGAACCATCAGCATGAAACTTGTGTTTGAAGATCCATTTCCCGGTGACCACATTTGCCTTGGCAGGCCGAGCAACGAGATCCCAAGTGTGGTTGTCCAGGAGGGCAGTGAATTCTTCTTCCATGGCCTGACGCCAGTGCGGATTAGCAAGAGCATCACGGCAGGAATGCGGAAGTGGGGACAGAGCCTCGGTGTGTAGAGCAAGACGAGGCTGCTTGTATCCGGACTTCCCGCGAGTCGCCATGCCATGTGAATTGGCAAGTGGCGGGATGGAGACCGCCCCTGCTGGCAGTGAAGAACCGCTCTTGACGTAGCGTGGTGGAGAGGGAATCATGCCATAGCGTCGAGGAGGAGCCCCATCGGGGGACCTCGGTGGTGAGCTGGGTGCGGGGGCACGCCCTGTGTAGACGTGGACGACGGGCGACTTGCTGAAGGAAGGAGCCGGGGGTGCCTGTACAGGGGGCACCGTGGGCACCGGTACAGGGGGCACCGTGGGCGCCTGGACAACGGGCGCTGGTGTAGGGGATACTAGGGGCGCGGTGAAGCCGGGTGGAGGAGACCGCGGCGCTGGTGTGCCTGATCGTGGCGCTGGGGTACCTGAAGATGTCGGCTGGGAGGGAGCCTCAGAGATGCAGGTGCTGGCGGGATGGCAGCAACGCGTGGGGTTCCTGCAGGTGGAAAAGGGACTAACGGAGGATCGTCATCAGTTAGAAAGTCCAGTTCGTGTGTGGGTGGTGAGGGCCGGCGAAGTGAGAAGGGAAACGTTGTTTCGTCGAAAACAACGTGGCGAGAGATGATGACACGGTTTGTGGCAAGGTCGAGGCACCTGTAACCTTTGTGGTCGGGAGAGTAGCCGATGAAAACACATAAGGAAGAGCGCGGGGCAAGTTTGTGAGGAGTAGTAGCGGTGAGATTAGGGTAGCAAGTGCATCCGAAAGCCCGAAGATCATGATAAGAAGGGTGAGTGCCATAAAGGGCGAAGGAGGGAGTGCTCATGTTCAGCGTTTTGGTGGGGAGGCGATTTATGATGTGAGTGGCAGTAGCAAGGGCATCGGCCCAGTAGAAGGGGGGCATGGATGCTTGGAAGAGCAAGGTGCGGGTGACATTGTTGGTGGTGCGAAGCATGCGTTCGGCTTTGCCATTTTGTTGCGAGGTGTAGGGGCATGACATGCGAAGGGAAACACCTTTGGCAAGAAAGAAAGCGCGAGACGTGGAGTTGTCAAACTCACGACCGTTGTCACATTGCACGGATTTGATGGTACAACCAAATTGAGTGTGCACATAGGCGAAGAAATTGGAGAGGACAGTAAAAGTCTTGGACTTTAATCGAAGAGGAAAAGTCCAAAGAAAATAAGAGCAATCATCGAGAATAATGAGATAGTATTTAAAGCCGGATACATTAATAATAGGGGAGGTCCACAGATCACAATGTATCAGATCAAAAGTTTTGGGTGCTCTAGACAAGGAACTAGCAAAAGGCAAGCGAACATGGCGCCCAAGCTGACAAGCATGGCAGATGGAGTCATCTGTGGACTTGCTGCAGAAAATGGAAGATGACTGAGCGAGACTCTGAAGGGCAGCCTTGCCGGGGTGGCCGAGACGACGATGCCAGGTAGTTGGAGAAGGAGTGGCCACAAGAGCACAAGTATCAGTAGGTGATGACGGGAGCTGCAAGGTGTAGAGTGGCCCTGAGCTGTTACATCGAAGGAGGGTGTTCCTGGTACGGAGATCCTTCACAGAGACACCAAGAGGGTCAAATTCCACAAAAACAAAATTGTCAGTAGTGAACTGACGAACGGAAAGCAGATTTTTAATAATGTCAGGAGCTAGAAGGACATTGTTGAGACGGAAAGGGCCAGGAAGGGTGGAGTATCCGGTGCCAACAACCGGGAGAGTGGCACCATTTCCCACAACAATGGAGGAAGGAAAAGAGGAGGATGGAGAAACGGTAACCATACCAGGGTTGGAGGCAATGTGAGACGAGGCACCCGAGTCGATCACCCAGTCCGAGGAAGTCGGAGGCGGGGTGAGGGTGACGGCGCTGAAGGCGTTGGCGAGGGACTGTTGGTCCCATGGTGACCAAGCAGGGGGCGTCGGGGGTGGTGCTGGCGTCCAGGCAGGATGAGGCGCCTGGGTGGGCGCCTGGTGATACGTCCCAGGAGTCGAAGGGTAGTAGGTTGGAGGCACGCCGGCCACCAAAGCATGCTGCTTCAGCGGTGGCAATGCAGATGGGCCAGTGCGGGGAGGTGGACCGCGAGAGCCGACAGGAGTTGACCCGGGCCACATGTGAATGGACCCTGTCCACGGATTAAGGAGGGAGGGCCACTGGGAACCGCCTGGGAAGCCGCTGGTCGAGCCTCCTTGGCCACGGCCGCCACGGCGACGCCGGCCACGGCCACTGCCATTGCCAGACGAGCCCCCCCCCGGCGTCTTTGGTGAGGGCGCTGGGTGGCGAACCAGGCAGGTGGGATCACGAGTGGCTTGCTGAACGAAGAGGCGACGAGGGCTGATGGAGACGCCGAAGGTGGTGCCATGTTGAGCTCGGCCGGGCGCAGGTCGGCGCGGACGTCCGCGAAGGAAGGAAACGGCTTCTGGCGCGTGATGAACTGCGACATGAACTGGAAGCGCTCATTGAGGCCGCGCAGGATGTTTAGCACCAGAGTACGGTCATGGACTGGCTCACCCAGATTAGCAAGGGCATCAGCCATGCCTTTCATCTTGCGGCAGTAGGCGTCGATGGAGAGAGCACCTTGGGAGAGGGTGCGGAACTCAGCATCAAGGAGCATGGCGCGGGACTCGCGATTGTTGAGGAACTACTGTTCGATACCGAGCCACGCAGCCCGAGCGGAGACGCCGTCACGTTCGTGGATGACGTCTAGAAGGTCGGTGGAGATGGTGTTGAAAATCCAGGAGACGACCACGCAGTCCATGCGGGACCATGCTGGATCGGTGACTCGGGAGTCGTCACGGAGGACGTGATCCTTCGCCGGTATGAAGCGGCCGAGGATGAGGAGGACGAGCCGCGCCACTGGAGTAGTTGAGGATCGGAGGTCCGAACAATCGGAATCAAATTCTTGATGTTCGGATAGCGGCTGACTGGCCGTGCAGATGAACGATGGTGGCGGCGTCGGAGGAGAAGAGTGATCGCCGCCGTCCCGAGAGTCGCTGTCGTGGAGGGAGTCCGGCGGAGACGGTCCCGAGTCTGGCGGCTCATTGTTCGAGGCGTCGGCTGTGGCGCTCCTTCTCGAGGGCGTCAAGAAGCCTGCACGAACGCGATCTCGCAAGGGCAGAAGCAGACTTGAGGAGGTCGGACTCGTCTCGAAGTCTGCTGGGCTGCGGTCGGTGTTGGTGGAGTGCAGGGAGGCGGCCTCCTCCTCCAGCTTCTGGGCGGCGGCGAGAGCTTCATCACGAAGCTTGATCGCGGTAGCCGCGGTGGAGACGCCGGAGGTTGAAGTAGCCATGGGCGCGCGGCTGGGGGACCAGGCGCGTCGACGAGGGCAGCACCAGGCACGCCGGCTGCCGAGAAGGACCGCGGATGACGGCAGCACTGGGCGCACGGGGCGGGAAGGTGAGGGGGCGGGCGCCGAGAGGAGCGGAAGCAGAGGAATCGGTTTTAGTCTGATACCATGATAGAGAAAGGCCAAGAGGCTTAGATTGCTTAATGAAGAGTTTACAGGAGTATTACATATATAGAGAGAGACTAAGCTAGAGAGTTAAGAGGGGGGAGAATCTCAGGCAGCATGCCGGGAGAGTTCCTAGGCAGCACTGGGTGGAAACCCAAGAGACAGCCGGTATACAATAAATGATAGAGGAAATAAATACTCTAACACTAACTAAAAGGACACTCAATAATGGCATATTCTTAAGAAACTAGGAAAGAAGTCAGAAGCCTCCTTTCATTTTTGATATAGTCATCTCTCTCTTTGGATAAGCTCACTCAAGCTAAAGTTTGTAGGGAAAACCCAATAACAGCCAGGGCAACCTCAAAGTTAACTATTGTGCTACCAGCATCAGGGGTGCAAGATAGATATATAAGTAAAAATTATGTTTTCAGACTTAACTTTAATGTATTATTATAGTTATAGTTCGCAATTTTATTTTTAGCTCACTTTCAGGTTACAGAGATAAGTTCTTTGTCAAAGTATATGCTGCGGCGTTCTATGTAGATTACTCACTTCGCCTTGATACTGAGCAATGGAAAGAAAAGATTGGTATTGAGAGCTTTGACGGTTCCTCTGTTTTTGACTCCATTTTTAAGGGTAAGAGATAACTATCAATTCCAAAATTTAAGGAATCGTAATATGTGCTAATGTTACTAGTTTATTTTGCAGCACCAGTTGTGAAATCATTGAGTATAATTCTTGTTAGAGCCGTTGATGGCAAGACCTTTGTGAATGCTCTAAATGATGTCATTGCTCGCCAGATAAAAAACCCAAATGCTGAGGAAGAATCTTCCCTGTCAACCTTGCAGAATACCTTTCTTGGGCGCAATCTCAAACAGGGAACAAGCATATACTTAACTTGGCTTGAACCCAAAAGAATGCTGGTGAGTCACATTCAATTCTGTTAATATTATGAATCTTCGACAGTGTTTCATTCCTCAAAGTTGAATATTGACTGTATAAACTATTTAGAAATAACAAACAACTATCCCACAATGAATACACTTCCATCGTACAAGAATTAGCAATGCTTCTAGTTCTATTAGGACTTGATACCTCAAGGTTGGAGCTCACTTTTGTCTGTACTGTTATTTCTGTCAGATCATTATCCAATGTGTAGCATTCTGTGGTAATGAGGCTAATGCCGTCACCTCTAACATAGAAAATAGTGGAATTCAAACAGTAAATATGACAATAGATGGTGGTTCGATTGGATAGGATTAAATGGAAATGACCTGCTAACTTCTTTCCGTCATGTAAATTTATCTACATTACCTGGCCGAATAAAAGCTGGCATGCATTGGCCATTGCTTGTAGTATAGAGAGACCAACAATTTAATAGTGCTTAGTTCACTAGTGGCACAAGAATTGACAACTTGTACAAGTCAGAAAAGCCAGACACATTGGCACCTTTTTTATCCAATGAAAAAAAAGCAAATCTATATTTTAGTCTACTACTAGGATTCAAATCTTATTGGTTTTAACTGACTATAGAGCAAACTTTTCTAAACTGTAGACCTTAAAGCTTAGTTGAGGTTTACAAAAAGCTTGAATTGCAACAAAGATTAACAGTGAAGCTGGAATTCTGTTTGGTCGTCAGATTTCCTTTTAATCTACTGATGGATTTATTCAATTTTTGTAGTTTTTGAATATTTGACATTAAATTATATTTTTGTTAGTTACTGAAAAAATTATCATTGCATTCTGGAAAAACTGTAACAACTCAAATTTGTGAATAAATAAAAATATGAAAAAGGGGACTTGTAGAGATTTATGTAGAGAGTGAGCTCAATTTGAATGCTGTTAACTTTTATTGCTGTAGATCTCCATTTCCGAAAATCAAGATCCACGTCAAATTGATGCAGAGATCGGATCAGCTACTGTTAATTATGCTCTATACGATGGCTTCTTTGGTAAATCCCCAGTGTCCCCTTCTTTGAGATCATCTACAGCCCAATTGCTGGAAGCGCTTCTGCTTTAGAAGTGACAATTCAGTCGTGGTTCTAGCAATGGTTGCTAGGAGTGGTTATTTCCCTTCATTCTCTCTTTTTTCCCTAGGGAACACAAGACGTGCTGGGGATGTCCATGATCATAGTTCCCATAAAGGAAATTAATTTAATTATTATAGAGTTCATATGTAACATTTTTGTCATCCTGATGAAATATGGTGAATTGTCACGCCCTTGTGTTGATATTATGCTTGGCGGATTGCTTTACATTCCATCATTCAACTTGCCTAGCCGAACTTGCTCAGTGGAAATGGATTTTTCAGGGGCAGTAGAAACTAATGTTGTGAACCACACCTGAAAAATGATTCACATTTTTGAGAGTTTCACGGCCATTTTGAAAGATCTCATTTCCTGCCAATTTCATCAAATTCAATCCATGCCACATGTATGATACCAATATAGTATAAACTTAGTGACATATTGTATATTTAGTAATTTAGTTGGAATCATCACGATTATTTCATGTACGTCAACATCTAACATTCCAATTGATGAACATATATATGCACCACGTTGTACATCAATTTGAATTAACATTTGTCACTGTAACTTTTCTCACTCACAAAGAAGTCGCAGTCTTTGCTCTTTCTTTGCTAATGTGCAATTAACATAGAAGAAAATGCAATTGCAATGAATAAGACGTGTAGGATGATGAACTGATGATGCCTAGAATGTCGCTCCGTTAAGGTGGCAAGCCATTTTAGGAATGGAAATGATTCCAATGTCTACGCCTCACAATCAAAATCGAAGGGCCACATGGGCGCATGGGCCAGGTTGGTGGGCTGGCCAGGGGCGGGGCGCGCGTGGGTGCTACAACTGCGGTTTTCACCATCAGGTCTTATAGATTTCAACGCTGTTTTTTGTCCGAACCGACGGTGAAAATGATTTTCGGCGGTGATATATTATCACCACCGGTTTTAATAATACCGTCAGGTGAAAATTCCGTTAGTAAAAACAATTTATGGAGCAGTGATTGAGTGTCATCCGTTGCTCATGCCGTGCTCTGTCTGATAGCCCTTCCGTGCTCAAAAGTTCACTTGTTAGTAGTGTGTTCCTTGCGTATGCGTACCAATACATACATTAGGTGTTGGAAAGAACTGCTTCTGTTTTGGTCAACTTAATATTTTTGTAATTTGCTTGGCCGGTAATTGTAACTTCATTTCTTATTGTTAGTATCATAGATCTGCTTTAGTACTGTATGTACATATTTAGATAAAATAGGATATATGATCAAGGTTCTCCTAGTATCCCATCAATTTACATATTACCTATATTTACATTTTCAGCTTTCCGTTGTTGGCCGTTGCTATGAAGAGCCTAGAAAAAGATTAGGAAGGACGTCATGCTTCTTGTAGCACCGTAGAGAAGACGTTGTAACGGCACACCGGGCATGTCGAGTGGTCGCGCAGCCACAAGTCAATGCACTGCTGGTGGAACATGTGCAGGCACCCCGGCAGCCGCTTCACCATTTCCCCCTTCTCCACCTCCCCTAGACACACCGCGCACTCCGACGGGCCGTCCGGCGCCCCCTTCACGTCCTCCTCCTGCTCGTACGCCGGGATGTCGTCCACGGCGACCACCCGCGCTCCACCCCGCACCGGCGGCTCCCGCGCGAGCACGTAGATGGTAGCATGGCCTTCTGGTCGTCCTTGCACCACGAACCGTGGCAAAGAACCAGAGGCGGCAGAAGCGCCGCCTCCGCTGCTCCGGTGCCGTAGCCGGGCTCGCGCCGTGCGCGCGCACCGGCACGGCAGGCAGAGCAGCCAGGCGAGGCCGCGCAGAGGCGAGCACAGGAACCGCCCCAGCGCGGACCACGGGAAGAGCGCGCCGCAGAAGACAGGGTAGACGCAGGCGCTGATGCTGACCCAGACGACGAAGAAGATGGAGAGCGTGACCACGTCGCTCGTGCTGTGGGGCTTCCGCGCGCGCCGGACGAGCGAGTTGATGAGGAGGCCCGTGCCGCCGATGCACACCGCGTTGGCGATGGCCAGCCCGAACAAGCGGACGAAGCAATCCATGGCTGGACAGCGTACACCCGAGATGCTGAAGCTCGCGACCAAGCTAGTACAGTTGCACTGGACTACTAGAGCGTGTGCGTAGGATGATAAGGGAGATGGGCTCAAAAGTATCTTACGGGGAATTTCCGAGTTCCTTACTCTCCGTGTGCTCGCGAAATGTTGAAAGAGATGGGTTAGACTTGAAACCGTGTCGTTTCTCCAAGTCAACTAACTGATTGGTTCGTGCAGGCGGAAACAAAGCGAACGAACCAAACACTTGACCTTCGATATTCTGTGTTGACTCGATTATTAGCGAGTCATTTTATATGGTCCCTCATCCAACAGATTGGTTTGCATCGATTTCAATTTCAAGAACTATCACCACGTCGATTTTCAATTTATCTTTCACAATCACCGTAGATTCCTTAGAAAATCGAGGAAATGGACAAAAAAAACTTGATCCTGTAACCCAATTGAGTCTTTTGCCGGCCATATGTACTGGATTTGGTTGTTGCATCCTATCACTGTGACTGAACAGGTAATAACTGTCGGTTGCCATAGAATCGGCGCTGATAAGTTTATAACTACCGTTTTGTGACTTCAACTGGCACTTATGGCACATGCAGTGATAGGTTGACTACCATCGTTGGTTCGTGGCTTCGACCGATAAAAAACCATAACCTTTTCATATAAGGTCGGATTAAGATAAATTTTATAGCAAAATTATAAAGTTCAAATCTAACACCTTGTAGTTGATAATTTTTTTTTAATTCGAGAGAACGTGAACATTGAGGTCTTAGATTTGAATCCTAGAAACACATATTTGCGCAATTTCAATAGTAACAATAACATGAGATCTTCCAAAGGCCTCGTGATGAAATGCGCTGCTCTTAGTTTTGCTTTAATTTTATAGCCGTAGGTACTGTGTACATCATGTTTCATAAGGATGAAATCTAACTCTTCTCTCAGTTTTATAAATTTCATTGTGTTTTATTTTCGAGTTAATAATGAGATCAAAAAACCCCACACGAGAATGTCTTTTTATCTCTGTTTCCACTTTCTTCCACCTAGGATGTGACTACCTGTCGCTTGCGCGACTGGAACGGATTAGTCGTGGCCGCGTCCTTTTGTTATATTGTGCTGCGCTATCGTTAGTGGGCTACCGCTTGTGTTTTGGCCAAACCAAGCGCACACGGCCATTAGAGAATGGGACAAATTCATTGACGTAGTCACGTAGCAGCTAAATTTAACGGTTCTCTCTCAGACACACACGTAAAAGGCAAAATTTAATAGAGATGAGAAAAAATAGCGACGTCATCTTTCCCACAAATTTTTTAAAAACATAGCTTCCAAATTGAGCATCAAAGTTAAATTTCAATTGCACTATTTTTTTTCTTGTAATAAAATCTTTTGAAAAAAAGGCCCTACTTGAATATACATGGATGACATTTTGTAAAGAATAATTTTGTTTTTTCTTTAGAGGAAGATGTTCTAGGTCGAAAGGAAAATATGTCTTATGTTTCGGAGAAAAAATGTTGTAGCTTCACAAGGAAATTGTCTTATCTTAAAAAGAAATGTTCTAGCATAAATGAAAAGCTTCATAAAAAAATCTTAGCTTATAATTAACTAAAATGTTAATAGCTTCACAAGAACCTTGGTCTAAGCATTAAAATAAAAGTTTTCTATCAAAAGTGAATAAATGTTTTGTGTTTATCACAAAAAGTGTTCTGGCTTAATAAAATAATAATGTTCCAGCTTCATAGGAAAAATATTTCTAACTTAAAGAAAAATGCTCTAGCTTTTAGTAACAAATGTTTCAATCATGACAAAAAAAAATATTCGTCATATTAGGTGCAAAGAACAAATAAAGAAACAAGAAATAATAAATAAATTAACTAGAAATCAAATGAAAACAGACTAGTAAAGTGAAGGAATTTTCAGTTCCTGCCAGGCTCTCGGCTGTGTGGAGGGAACAGGCTGGCGGGTGCCAGGTGACCATGACGACCGGCGGCTAGTCGACAGACAGCGCAACCGGCAGTCTGCTGGCACAGTCACACCTGCACATGTGCCGCCGTGGATAGGCTCGCGAATCGGTGGTCGAGTGTCATCTACTGATCTTCTTTCTTGAGACGCGCTGTGATTGTGAAACAGAGGTTCCAATCAGCAATGGTGGACGTCAGCCACTCAGCCGGGGATTCGAGGGGTATCCATG